GTTTATAATCGTGCATATATTATACAGATATATTAATTTTTGAATTCCCGAGTGTAACAAATTTATCTTCAACTCGCGAATTTTCAAAACTCTCTTCGTAAAGATTTTGTTATTGTATGAAGAAAATTAAAAAGTAAAGCTTTTTAAATGTCGCGTTTTTTTCTCTCTCATCACGAACAAATTGAAAATCAAATATCCATTCGCAACGATGTATGCACATTCAATGATACTCCTATTTTTTATCTATCTTAAAAAAATGACGAGTCGTCGACGTTGTGATTGATCGTTGCTAAAAAAGGACGTGAAATTTTAAATATTTTAATTATATATCTAGGAGTGTGAGATTTATATTGTAGTAGTAAATTTGATTTATAACCAAGCAAATCCAATTAATATGTATAATAATCTGTAAGTATGGAAATATATTGTTGATAAATCGTTTTAAAAACATAAGAGGTTATACCTTGAAATTATCAGTACAAATGAATACTTTGTATAACTATCTGTGATAATGAAATTAATATTGTCTTAATGTTAAATTCAATTGGAAAAGAGCAAAGGTAAATCGAATAAAATAGAAGAAAATACATTTTTATTTTGTGTACATTCTAAATTACGAGGTATAAGGGGAACGGAAACTAATTATTAGAATAATAAACCTGTTAAATTTGAAGAATGTTCACAGCTGTTTTCAACGGGGCAACAAAAAAAAACACACACACGCACAATGTTGAATGTATTGCTCATACTAACATAAAACTGGGGCCATAACCATTACCATTAAGTATGCAAGGCTTAGTATTGTATGATAATATAATAGCTTAATACATTTTATCGGTTGTAGGTTTCATTAATCTATTTTTCCGATACATCTTGAAATGAGTAAAAGTTGATTTTTTATGAAAAAAAAGGAGGAAATTTTATTTTTATCAATCAATGAATATTGGTGGATGTATAGTGTATTTTTAAAAGCATGGTATATTCATGTGTATATACCATTGGAATATCAAAATGGTTATGTAAAAGGTTCAGATACTGTAATAAATAACTGAAAAACAAAAGTAAGAATGCTAAATAATATGAGTAATATAAAATGCGCTGTGCAGACAAGTCGTCATACTCGCGTGTGTACAGATATTAAAAATCAGTGGGGCGATTCCACGAGGACAAGCGTGCATCACTTGATAATTCAATATTGAAACGACTTCATATAAACATCAGAGGATAGCCGCATCGCGAGAAAATGATCGCCATTAGTCAATATCACCGTGCGTCGAGCTCCAATGGTCCTAATGATCGAATGCTCGTGTTACGCTGTCGCAAAAAGGACGAGTAGACGTGTGTACAAGCTTGCTCTTGCGATGACGCGCTGATCTCTTGATCGTTTTAGAAAGGGAAGAGAGGAATGCCAAGAGGCATGAAAGGGGTTTTATCATGAATGCGAGACACAGACTGGACAAAGGGGCGAATATAAGACGACGAGGCTGAGAGATTGCTTCGAGCTTTCTCTCTCTCTCTCTTTCTCTCTCTCTCTCTCTCCCATGAAAGGCTTTGTTTGATGCTTGCTTGACGCGCCTGATACGCAATAACTGAACTTCTTTGTTGCAAACATTGGAAATTTATGTCTTTACAAGGTATGATCTAAGACACCGTTTCGATTGTACAACAGAGAAAAATTGAACTATTCATAGAGCCTAGTAATGTAGTCTATGAACTTTTCAGGTGCATATTTTTTAAGTCTCGTTAAAGGCTATGCTAACGATAAGTAGAATTTATTCAAGGAATCAAATGTCAAAGCAAATTTAAAGGAATTCCTAAAGAAATTACGAATTGCAATACTTGTTTTCGTTAAGTTAAATGAGAAACAAGGATAATTGATACCACTAGGACTACGAAAAAATATATAGATGGACAATTACACCTGGGAGTCTTAATGGGGATGTATTCAGACACCTTGTGGATCGATTAAGAGCCGCCCGAGATGCTCAATTAGTTGGCAAGGGAATATAGGCCTTTGAGGCTGATCTAATCGTAATCTTATCGAACGTTAAAGAAGCGTCCTTTCGTCGAACACTTTTAAGAATTCCACAGTCGCGTGTGTTTATCTAATTCTCTCTCAATAGCCCTCATACGCTTTCTTTTCTTCCGCATTTTTTCATGTTTTTTTTTTCATCAAATTATCTTACTTATAATTCGATTTCTTTGATAAAAATAATGCAGTGAGACTTTTTGAGCCGTTACTTCAAAAATTTTCATTTTTATCTCACGGCAAATCAAACAATTGTTTTATTCTACTAAATATTTGTTTGATTTTACGCATTTGTAAAAAGGCAATAGAAGTCGTTCAAATATTATCATCGATAAAAATTCGACAAAAATTTCGTTACTCCATTGTGAGAAAAATGTCTAACAACGACCATTGCGCGCGACAGAGAAAAAAGTGCCTAAATTACAAAAGTCACAACACATCGTCAGCTCAGTGCTTGCACTATAGTCATTCTCAATTATAATTAGCGTTGTCTGCTATGACAATCAAATTCAGACATCCTTTCAAGTCACAGCTGATCCCACCTCTGGATCCTATCTCCCTAATATACATACACACACGCCTGTGCGCGCGCGCACGCTCACCTACACACATATATATTCACCACGCACTTTCAAATTGTCATCGTGAACGCCAACCACGTCCCTTTGCCCTGATATTTGTATTAGCTGAGCCTTCTCTCTCTCGCTCTCTTTCTCGATGTCATCTTGTCCTTTCTTTCTCTCTATTAGCTGGACTCTCTCACCTATTACTTTTAAGTTTTTTACATGCTTAACTGACACTGTCGACGCTTTTCACCGGAAGATTTAGAAGCGCGCCAGTCGCACTAATGTAGTTGTCGCTGATATAGACAGGATGTGTTATCTGTACTTCGACGAAGAATTGGTAAAAGAAAGGACGAAGGCTATAAAATAGATAAATTACCTTATTTATTATATGTGCTGCCCCATGTGCCATAAAAATACCTACTATTAACTATTGTCACAGATGCCCCGCGAAGTTATCATTTTTATCGAGCTGTCAATAAAAAAAGTAATTGAAAATACTGAATGATAAAAAATAAAGTATACTTCTCAATTGTCAGAATGTTAATGTACCAGTCTATATATTACGATTTATACTTCAAGATCCATACATTTAGCAATAACATCTGCCTTTTAAAAATATTGTTTTAATGAAAGTATCTTAAAAGTTAATTCCTATTTCAGATTAACCGATTTTCTGTCTTGGATCTTGTATGTTACAGGTCTCAAAAATATAAAAATGGCTAGTGATAGCAATAACGGTGATTAGGAATTCTGGTTGACGATTAATTTTGATGAAAATGAACTGAAATAAAAGAATCATGCAGTATGAAAGAGCCAATAAATAAATTTTAGTAATTTTTGATTCACAAAAAGTTTAATCTATCTACTTCATTTAAAATGCAATTTATATTTTGTCTTTTCACTGACGCGCAAAAATATTATCGCAACGTAAGATGTTGTTAAAACGCATAGAAAAGCTTAATTATAGTCAAATATCCAAACCAGACGGTCACTTCAGAGTAGAAATGGACAGATAAGCAAAAAGATTAAAAAAATAGATAAAAGCCAAATGGAGAAGATAGAGTCGACGCGGAGGCAGAAAATAAAATAGAACGATGGGGGGAAAGAGAGCAAGAGACAGAGGAGCTAGCGGCGTTCCAATCAGAAATCCTTCGACTATGCTCTGGACACGCTTGGTTTTATCGGCGATTGCCTGAGCCAACGCTAATTAACTCGGGGTTAGCTTCTCTCTTTCTCTCTCTCTCTCTCTCTCTCTCGCTCTCTGGCGCGTCCACGCGTCCAACTCGCGAGCGCGCGCCCGTATTGCCGAGGGGCAAAAACTCGAATTTATTAGGGCCATATGGTGGTGTTAATGGCCCAGATAGCTGCGCTGCTGACCGCAGTGATGCACGCAAATTAACGGATCGCTGCATTAGAATCCCTACGCCAGTTTAATAGCCACTCCAGAATGTAAATTAAACTTGTTAATGCGTCGATGTCTATTTCGAATTGCTTTTACTCATGCCAAAAGACATTGGAACTGAAAGCTCTTTCAAAAAATTCAAATTTTCAAATCAGGTGCTGACGCCTCGAGTTTGCCTCCATCGAGCATTTGCGAAATGAAACGACCTGTTTGTATAGTTTCAACGGTTTTCTTGATCTTGTAGTTGACAGTTTATGTTTTTTACAATTTACTTTAATTTACCAATGGCTAAAATTTATGTGTATCTAGAAATTGAATGAATCGGAGTTTATTTAACTGAACTACTCCCATATTCAAAATTTATTATGGATGTGAGCTGTACAGATTATATTGCAACTTTCATTTTGACAATATAGTAAAAAAAGATAATGAGTTCAAATGAAAATCTTTATATGTTACAAATCGAGCGTTGGAGGGAGCCAAGCAAGGTAATGCATTAATTTTTGCTTCATAATGTTTAAATACGCAATGAAATTAATTTATTAATTTATAGGGTCATGCTCATCATGGGTCAATTTGCAATTATGTATACAGTGTAGCTTTTGTACAAAATAATTTTAACTACTGTGGTCTTCTCAGTTTATTCATGATATTTGTAAGATAATACATTCAAATTTAAATTTTAAATATATTATTATAATTATATACATTTCACGTAAGCTTGTCAATTAAATTAAGAAATAAGTAGATAAGGTGCAAGCGATTGATAACAAATCATTACCTAATCAAAATTTTATTCTATAAATGTTAAAACTTTCAAAGAAAACAGCTGTTGATACATAGAGTTCAATTAAAATGATACGTTTATTCTTCAGTAGTCCTTTTATGTAGCTCTATGTGCACAAGTGACAAATTTAAATTTTAGATTAAGAAGACAACTGCTATAAATAAGTGATTTTGAGAAATCCCAGCTACCTTCAGTAAGAAATTACCTGATCAAAAAATGGCTGTAAAAGTTGTTTTTTTTATCATTTGCGTCTTTGGTGCTTTTTTTCAAACCCAATCGGCCTCAATAACTAAGGTATTTAGATATTTATTAGACTATGACAGTTGGTATCAAATGGTTATACCGATAATTATTTTTAATGTAACAAAAATGGCGAATAAATTTTCAACAATTCTCTTGAGTACAAATTTCTTTTATTTGTAAAAATTACTTATCAAGTAATAATTGTTTTATTATTTTAAGATTCAAGATATCGAATATGTACGAGATATTCGTTATGTGCAACTTGAAGCAAATAATCAAGAATACAACTTAACTTTAGTCCAGCGCATCCACAATACTTTCTACGAAGGAACCCCCGTATGGACTGCTAGTTCATATGAAAGCGAAAACGACTATAAAATTTGGAAAGTTTTTTTTGTAAGTCGTTTTTCCGATTTTTAAGTTTAAGTGGACAAGTAAAATATTCGAAAAATAAATACTTTATTTTTAGAAAGATAGACAAATTCGTGGTATTTTCTACGATGACCATGAATATATGGTAACAGTCTTTGCAACTTATACGTCAGAAGTAGAAGAAATATATTACGTGAGTTATGTTACTGTTATATATCTATATTAATTTTTCTTATGATAAAATAATATAGTTCTTATTCTTTGTGACACATAGAATGGACTCGTCAACATTGGAACTAAAATTTACAAAATCGATTCAGCCCTTGATGTTTGGTGGCAAAATCCATATTTACCTGAACCTAGCGACAGTGAAGAGAGCCCCAGATCCTCTCTAGCTCTCTGCTTTCCCGATGGTAAAATGAACTACCGCGTAATAGCCGTTATATGTTATTATTTTATAATATTTTCTAGTAAGCAGAGATGATGTTACCATGAGATCATCGGAAAACTTTGTAATAAATTTGGACCCAAAAATTCTTGTTGTTGTGGATTTTGACTTGTACAGGTAAAGTAATTTCTTTTATTTTACTTGCCATTGTATTTAGAAGTAGTATCTTGTATGTACATAAAAATTATTATTTTCAAGTGAATTGGGTGAAAGCATCGAAAAGGTTATTGAATATGTAGGAACTTTCTGGAACGCTGTAGATTTGAAGTTCAGTAAATTGAATTCACCAAACATTCAAATAAGTGTGACTGGAATCTTAATCATTGAAGTATGCAACTTTTTTAAAATATAAAATGCTATAATACAATATGTATATATGTCAAATTTGTAGGATGAAGACGTAAGCATTATAAATAGCAACCCGGAAAGCTTTAATGAAAACTTTGCCAAGAAAGTAGAATTTGTAGATTATGATGCTGTGTTCATCATGACAAAGTAAGTTAAATATCGAGAGAATAAAACTGTTCGAGTTCATTCTTTTTATTGCTTTACTTTCATTAAAAATAACTATTTGTTTTACAGATCGAGTGCCAAAACTAGACCAAGTATAAAAGAATTTGATCATCTGATAATAGTTAAAAATGTATATTAAATAAAAAAACATTTAATTTTCAGATAACAGTCCGCTTGGATCAATTTGTAATCGTCAAAAAAGCATAGTTTCCGTCCAAGATAATACAAACTACGAAGGTGTTCTGAGTGCTACTTATGAATTAGGTCATTTGTAAGTAAATAAAATATTTTCACTACATCAGTTAAATAATACAAGAATATGAATTCCTTTTATAGGCTGAATCTTCCTCATGACGGATCAGATAGGGCTGAAAGATGCACTATCCGCTCTGGCAACCGCGTCACTTTCATGTCTACGGGCTTGGAATCATCAAAAATGTTGACATGGTCTGAATGCAGTCGGGATATTATTCGAGAATTCGCAAAGTAGGCATTGAGACAAATAATGATGAGCCATTTTGAATTTTAAGAAATTAATCATTAAAATGATTTGTTTACAGGTCTGAAGCATCTTCTTGTTTGAAAAATCGTCGGCGTTACTTTTAAAGAACAAATCAATGACTAACAATGAACAAACTTTTATCTTAGAAATGTTGAATAAACAAATTTTACTGATATGCAAATTGTTCTACCTTTCTCCTCATCCTATTACGCAATAGGTCACCGTGTTGTAATAAGCTCAAAGTACTCTAATTGAAAAATTCTAGTAATAATTCTCTATTTTTGTAAATACATAGAGTTCGAGCCTGTGTACTTTTGCCAAAACACTGTTTTATGAATTAATTGGATTACACAGATTGTCGAACTTCTTTCTAAGAAAAATCTATCGTCAATTTCCCTGAATACATATGACTTAATTAATCATTTTATAAGAACTTAACGAGCGCATAAATGTAATGTGCTATTGGAAATAATGTATTGCTAAGTAAAAGTAGAAAATGATTACATAATAGACATATATTGAAACAAATGTCACAAAGTGAAGGTTATAGATTAGGTTATTTTACTGGATAATAAATAATGAACGCCTTTTTCCAAATATTTCACTGGAACAATTGACACAATAATTACTTTCCTTTTCTTCGATCGAGGAATTGGCGGCTTATCACAAATTGCCCCAATGTTCATATAACAAAATCAATATACTGCGATAATAAAAAAGAAAAAAAAAACAGTTTTTAGTCGAAAGAAAATAAAGTGATGAAACACAAGTTACGTGACGAATAATGGCGTTGATACGTCGCCGCTATTATCTGCAAATGGCGTGCAGGACGCGGCAGGAACAGCAGCAGATCCGAGAGAGAAGTAGAGCCCGCGGCGAAATTCTGTCTCGATTGGTCGACCGTAGGGAAATTCGCTCGGGCGGTTCTCTGATACGATATCCTTAATGCCCGACGTTTAATAAATTCCCGTCGAATTGCCGGAGGAATATCCTCACTCTCACTCTTGATGTCTCCAGGGAATTTTCCCTCTCCTTCCCTTAGAGAGCGAACCTCATAAAAAAATCATAGACCCTCCACTGTATATATAGCTCGAATCACTTTTTTTCTTCTTCTTCTTCTCTTCTCCCTCCGGCCTCCTTTATTCGGTCTTATTACCGCGCGCGCAAAGCTGAACAGCGCCGCCGCCGGCTAGCTTCGCTCTTTAACATTTCACGTGGCGAATATCGACGTGACGGCTTAATTGCATAAACGCTCGATCGGCCGGCGCGCGCTATTGATTGCTCGTGATTATTTTTACGTGCTACAGCTGATTTCTTTCGACCCCGGTATGTCTATGTCGACGATGTATAAAACTGTTATTCATATTTTTTTTCTTAATATTTATTATTGAGGACTTCTATCGAACGTTTATCTTTTGGTATAGAACTGTGAGCGAATAAATACATTAATTGATTTGGAATGTTTGATTTTTAATCGATTAAATTACAAGTGGCCGTAACATTTTCATTGAATGATACGAAGACGACAAAGTGATCGGTTCGATGGATGAATTTGTCGTAACTTCGTAGCTTTTGTTTCAACTCCATTTACGTAAAAAAACAAAAACGAAATATAACACCACCAATACTTTAAAACGACACTAAATTCATTGGTATCTCAGCCGCATGAGATGGAATGACGCCCACAAAATTCAATCGGACGCCAGTAGCACTAACCGCTCTCATCAAAGCTCAAGCGCGCGCGCACACAAAGTAAGTACGGCAGAGGCTCGATCAATCATCTAAACTGAGCAGCGAGCGCGTGGCAAAGGTCCGCGCGCGTATGTGACAGATGAGCGTCGCGTTCAAGGGTCGCTGCACATCAGTTGCTATCTCTCTGCGTCATATACCTTTACTACCGGCGCATGGATTTAATTATCGGGATCGATAAGCCGTTTGATCGCTTGGGCGTGGACACACTCGGACAAAAGCTCTCTCTCTCTCGTCCACGACCTTGACAAATTGCGTTACATCTAGCTACCTATCCCCCCAATCTCTTCGCTAGCTGCCTCTAGAGCCCTTTGGCTAATTTGGACTGGCTTTGTTTGCCACGGGGATTGACTGTTTGCACAGAGCTTAGACTCGCCATGAAAAATTTCCCTCGAAATTCATACCGAAACGTGATTAATTTTCAGATTTGCTGAGTCACGTTTGCTAAAGAAAAAAATGCAATACTAGCTTGGAAGACAACGCAACCGTTTGTTGCACAATAGCTCTCAAGGTCTATCTTTCATTTCTAACGTATTATCTGATTTTGATTCGATTTCCGTTTTTCGATACTGCCGGCCAATAAAGTGGTATAAGTACTACCAAAAGTTTACTTAATGATAGTCTAATTAAAAGCTTGTGCAATTAAGAAAAGTACAGTGAATTTCGGCACGAAAGCCCTAGTGAAGTAACTATAGCAAAAGGATAAAAACAAGGAAAGAGTTTGAAGGGCAGACAGGCAGCGGTTAAAAGGGAGAACAGGAACAGCCGGCAGAGCTGCGAGGTGAGTACGTCGAAGTCGTAGCAGCAGCAACAGCGAAAGGGGTGTTCGAAGCCATGACGCGGGCGAGAGAGAGAGAGATGAGATTAAACGTAGCGGAAAGTGCTTGACGTCGCGCTCGCACGGCGAAAGGGTTGGCTCTCTTCGAAAAACCGAACAGTGATTAACCCTGAAACGAAAGCCTCATCAGGTCTGATGGCAAGGCGGCGGCAGTTCGGTAGCGAGTGCTGAAAATCCCTTTCTCGAGCATAATTGGGCAGAGGACTTGCGCCGTTCGCTCGCCTATGTCTCTTGTTAAAGTTTCGCCGATTTGCCATGCTCCCGGCATGCTTAGAAGTGTTTAGAATAGCAGCGGCAGCCACCGGTGACAAAGCTCATTGGAATGGAACATTTTACATTATATGGGGACGTACGTTCGTTAACGTTTTAAGACTGACGAAGGGCTCGCAAATATGACGAATTTTCAGCGAGCGTCTCTGTATACGTCGATTTAGTTCGAGAGTGGAATTTCTAGTTACAGAATATGAATTCGTTTGAATCGCCAAGTTTCGATGACGCTGGCGTAGTGTCGAAAATGAATAGTCATTTTACTTAGATTCAAGGTCAGATTTATCTTGAATCCAAGATATATTCGTACTGTTCCTTTCATAAAAACTCGTAAGCACATACGTAACGGTATTTTTCTTAACGCCACGTATCATTCACAAAACTTATATGTGATAATAAATTTATTCGGAATCAACATTATTTACTGCTTCAAGTTTGCACAAGAATTATAACATCGAATTACATTGCTTCTATCACTTTTATAGCAGACGGATCTCATTATGGCTATGCATAAATATGCGTTTTATGTATCGGTCAAGAACATAAAAAGCCACGTAGTTTGCGTCCGCATAAAATCTTTCAAATCTTTTCCTTATCGTTATCATAAAATAAGCATCGAAGCTGGACCGTTTCTAAGAATATTCGCATCACTTGGAGGCACACTGCAAAAATATTCGCTAACGCGTTCTTAACGAAACAAAAAAAAATGAAGCGTTGCAGTCGTAGAAATGCTCATCGAGTAATTGCCGCCGCGGCCATAAATCAGCGGCGCGTTAAGCTCGACTTTTATTTACCCAGAAACACGCGCGCGCCAGACACCTGGGAGAGCTCTACTTATTGTTTCTTTTATTTTTTGTCCCCGTTCGATCGACACGCGCCCGTCGCGCACTGCCCTTAATTCGCACGATTAGATCTGCACGTGCGTGTGCGAGTGTGAGTTAGTGCGAGAGAGAGAGAGAGAGAGTGAGAGAGAGAGAGAGGTGCGTCATTTGCGCCTCGTATCAACGCTAACGCATCTTAATGGCCAAACGAGTGTGTATACGCGAATTCCGCTTCTTTTGCATTAACGTCCAAATTGCACGCTATCGGACCGTAATTACCGAGCTTATCGCTTCAACTTCTTTCGGATGGTTCCTCGTGTATTACTGTACACACTTTCCCTATACTTTGGTTAGTCTTTCAAGATTTTTTACATTTACGTTTTTTTACTAAATGCAACTTTTCTTATTATATTTTTCGTTAGTGCTGTTTCAATCGTGATGCTATTGTTTCACGAAATCTAAATTTCTTACAAATTGCACTTGTTCGGTCAAAAAATATACAGACAATTCAGTTGCACCTTAAAGTCTAGCACACGGCGGATAAATAATGAGATTGAAAGAAACTCCATAATTTTTAAATGTTTTACCGTTTGGCATAGCATTATAATAAATGTACATAAGATGTTTGTTTATATAGATACAATCTGTATCTATATAACAATATAATTTAGAATATAATTTAGACAAAGATCATTTTACATTTCGGAATATTGCGAAAAAGTATGTTTTGTAAATTAAAAATAATAAAAATAAAATCTAATAAGATCCTTATAAATAGTGACTGCTGTTGAGAAATAACTCGCAATTTAGAGATGCTTACTACATGATCGTACTACGAAAGGAACTTGGTTAATTATCTGAAAGACTCATTAATGTAAAAGCTATATACTATGATAAACGGAAGTTCTTGTCTTAGAACGAATTTTTCTGCTTACTGATTCATTCGCGTGAAAAAATAATACAATCGACGGCTAATGATATGAATTGTATATTTTCATTTCATATTCTCGCACTTACCGTACTGATCGATTTTGACGAATTTAACTGAGGTAATTATACCTTTTAATATTTAGGACTATAATCGTGGTAAAAATTCTTTTTTAAAAATAAATACCGGGAGGTAGTGATATCTAATTATATGTCGGCAAGTATTTCCTTATTTTTGTATTTTTTATTTACTTCAAAACAGCGTAGGCGTTCTCTTCAAACACATTTGTTTATACATTTCACATGTGCTTCGCTACTAAAGTTTTGTGAATTTTTATTCATTGCAAATTTTGAAGAGAACTCTGAATAATCTTATGATCATACTGCTATTATTATGGTAATACTTGCCAAGCCTGTCTCTTTCAAGTGAACAATGCCGTATTTTTAATTTATTTAGGGTTGTGCAAAAATGAAAACAATTTTGTCCGAAATTCTCTTTTTT